TCGCTCTGGCTAAAACACGTGCAGGCATTTATGGAATAGTTTAAAACTGGATTAAGGAAAAAGACATCAGTGTTTAGTAGGACTGTAATTTTGGATCCAAAGTTTGTGTAATAGAATCAGAAGTTGTTTACTCAAAATTTGCTGACATTAAGAAGTTACAGGCTTTTATTAGTTTCTTTATTTTTGTTGAACCACACACACACACACACACACACACACACACACACACACACACACACACACACACACACACACACACACACACACTCACACACATATACGCACACACACACACACACACACACACACACACACACACACACACACACACACACACACACACACTGAAGCTCAGTTCGGCTGGTGATTGTACAGGTTTGTTTGTGTGTGTGTGTGTGTGTGTGTGTGTGTGTGCAGTATCCTGACCAGCACAGCCAGTTATTTCCCCTCAGTAAACCAGCATGATGATGATGATGATGATGATGGGTTATAAAGCAGCATAATCCTGTGTTAAACTCCTCACAGACACACACTGATGATGATGATGATGAAGGTCGTGATGTCTAGACCCTCTAAAAGCAGCAGATCAATGCAGACTCGAGGCTCGTAATGCTCAATTACTGCTGCTCAGAGTCTCAGAGGACACTGCTAAAGGCCACGCCAGTGTGTGTGTGTGTGCATTTGTGTGTGTGTATATTACTGCACTCTTCTGGATCTACATCTCACACACACACACACAAACCATCAACAACGCACACACACACACACACACATAAACATGAACGCTGGACTCTGATTGGCTGCTGGTCACTCTCAGGTGTTTGGTTGTCAGGTACAGCTAAAGTAGTTCCGGCAGGTTTAGAGGGTGCTACAGCTCTGTGTCACTCCGCTGAATGAGTAGAGTTATTGGATTAGAGAATGTTGAACTCTTGACTTCCATATTAGGAATAATAAATACAGCAGAAGTCAATGGTTACAGGTTTTCCACATTCTTCTGAACATCTTGTTTAGTGTTTGACAGAAGAAAGGAACTCCTACAGCCCTGAGGGAGAGTGGATGATGACAGGAAGCTCAGTTGTGGGCGAACTGCCCCTTTAAGAGCTTTTATTTTGGCGGAGCTGCAGACTGTGTTGCTGTGTTATTCAGAGTGTCAACACACACACACACAGACACACAGACACACACACACACACAGACACACACACACACACACACACACACACACACACACACACACACACACACACAGAGGCGATACTCCTCCAGAGGACGCTGCTGATCTGTAATGTTCCTCCTGTAATGTCTGGATTAATGACGGTCGAGTCCTCCATCAGTCACTGGAGCTGCGGCATTATTAGAGCTGTGATTAGCCCCCATCCCTCATCAGCACAGCCCTCCATCCGGCGCTGGATGACGAATGTGTTCATATGCAGAGACATAAATCAGAGCTCAATGAGCAGATCCATGTGCAGAGCGCACACACACACACACACACACACACACACACACACACACACACACATGCTGACGTTTAGTTCACTGCTGTGTTTGATTTAGATTCTGAAACTAAACTACATTCCTAAACGAAGCATTCAATTAGAGTCTCCAGCAAATGACTCACTGACTCAAATGATCTGTTCAGAGTGATTCTTCAGTTAATGACTCACTGATTCAAATGATTCATTCAAGAGTGAGTGAAAGTGAGTGAAACAGTGTAGTGGGCGTCATGGTGGTGCAGTAGATAGTGCTGTGGCCTCACAGCAAGAAGGTCACTGGTTCGAGTCCCGGCTGGGTCAGTTGGTGTTCCTGTGTGGAGTTTGCATGTTCTGTACATGTACATGTTTGCATGTGGGACAGGGGAATTGTGTAGGCTAAATTGTCCGTAGTGTATGAGTTTTAATGAATGTGTATGGATGTTTCCCAGTGATGGGTTGCAGCTGGAAGGGCATCCACTGTGTAAAACATATGCTGGAATAGTTGGCAGTTCATTCTGCTGTGGCGACTCCTGATAAATAAAGGGACTAAGCCGAAAAGAAAATGAATGAATGAATGAATGAAACAGTGTCAGTCCGGTTTTCAGAGTTCAGTTCAGTTCAGTTCGGTTCAGTTCAGTTCAGTGTGGTTTAATCTTCACTGCTGAGAGTCCAAACACTGAAGAGTAATCCATCCATGCGCAGTCTACAGGTCCTGAACTATGGAGCCGGTGGCGACAGCGGTGAAGAAAAAACGTCACGAATGAAGAATGAAAACACCTCGGGAGAGATCTGGCTCAGCTGGGCTCCTCCATTCCTCCACTGGCCTGGTGTTGTCAGAGCTGCAGGGACAGCACAGAGCTTCACTCTGCAGGCTGCTGATGGGGTGGTGCTGTGGGCAGGTATTATTGAAGATGAGCTAGTTGGATCTATTTGTGTTAAAAATGGACTCAAACTCTCAGACCTGCTGCTGACTTCCAGAAGAGCCTGTTCTAGCAGTGGTGCAGGAGCAATCTGCATCCTTCAAG